TCAAACAGGAATCGACAGAGAAAAATATTCGGTTCGGGCTCCATTAGCAACCATAATTAATTATGCATATCTATTTAATTTGTACAAAATACAATATTATCATTTATTCATACTTCAATTCTATGATAGGAAATAGGGTGAGGGATCCTTACTTGACTTGACACCGAAAATTAGATTGTCACTGCGCCTACAGGGGGTCCCTAGGTTCCCTGAATTTTTTATCGGGAACTGAAACGCGCTTACGGTACCTACACATGTCCCAAATAACCCAAAAATCAAACCCAGGGCCTACTCAGCCAATTTTGAAATTCTGGCACGGTGGCTCTGCTGTGCTCCGGCGACGGCACCATCGCGAGCGGTTGTGATCCGCCTCAGGTTGGCCTTTTTTTGACTGTTTTCGATCGAATTCATCCAAACTTGCATCGGTTCCTATGAGAAAACACACTTAGGACCCTCGGTGGATCGGAAAAACGTGGAAAACTGAAACTCACCGGGGGTGAGGCTCTCCGGTGCGGCGACTCCTCCGGTTCAAGTTGCGGTTTGGTGTTTTGCTCCGGTCAACCTATAGAGGAGGAAACAGTTATCACAACGGTGGAAAAATCACATCGAACGGGAATCAAGAAGGGCCTCATTGGAGATGAAAATTAAAACACCCCGCAGCAACGCCGTTGAGCTTCGACGATGTTTTCCGACCAATTGGCCAGTGCTTTCACTCCGATTTGGCAATAGATGGGTTTAGAATCAAATTCTGAGCAAAGGGTAGAATTTTTACCTCGTTTGGCGACCAAACATTGCTCCGATACGGCGGCGGGTTGCGGCGGTCGGCTCCCTAGCGGCTGGACTGTCTTCTCCGACGAGGGGCTCTGGCAGCTAGGGTTAGAGTTTGGGTGCGGATGAGGTTATTTATACCCATCTGCTTTTGATCTGAGCCGACCATCATTTTTAATCTGGACTGTCTGATCCGTCCGTGCGCGATGCAATCTGGGCCTTCCATGCGCGTTTTTGATCTGGGCCATCCGTGCGCGCAGTAACGGATTTCAGCCATTCGATAGCGTGCACGCAGATCGCCCACTTGGCTCCCTCCCGCGTGGCCTCCTGCGTCAGTGTCTCTGCCACCTAGCGCCTCCTGGTTAGCCGGGGCTGCTAACTGGGCAGCTGGTGTGGCACAATTTTTTTAAATTGTGTTTTTGACCTCCGGTTTTCTGATTTTTCTTTCAAAAATACCTCCATAACCCAAATTTTCACCCCTTTTTCCCAAAATTATTTTCAATTAAATCCCTAAATAATTTTTACCCCTTTTATTATTATTATTATTATTATTATTATTATTTTCATTAAAATAAATTAAATTAAATTAAATTCTATTAATACTTATTTATATTTATATAGAATAAATTAAAATAAAATAAAATAATAATAATAAAAATAAAAAAAGAAATAGTTGGATGGTACAACTCTCCCCTCCTTAGAAGAAATTTGGTCCTTCAAGTTTGCTTCTTACTCTCGATCAAACAACTGGGGGGTACTGGACTATAAAGTCTGATTCTAGCTCCTATGTAGCCTCCATTGGTGTGTGGTTCTACCATATGACCTTTACAAAGGATATTTCTTGGTTGTGGAGTAATCTGCTCTTTCGATCCGTAATGCTGACTAGTACTTCCTCATAGGATAAGTCCTCCTGAAGTGGGAGAGGTTCATGGGCCAAGGCATGAGAGGGGTCTGAGTTGTACTTGCGTAGCATGGACACATGAAATATATTGTGGATCTTGGAAAGCTCTAAAGGCAATGCTAGTCTGTAGGCGGAGGTACCAATCATGTCTAAGACTTCAAATGGTCTAATAAATTGGGGGTTCAGTTTTCTTCTCTTGCCGAACCTACTAATTTCCTTAAAATGAGTAACCTTAAGGAACACCCGGTCACATTTCTCAAACGCTAAATCTCTCATCCGGGTGTCCGCATAACTCTTCTGCATGCTCTGAGCCGTCTGAATGTTCCTCCTGATCTTAACTATCTTGGATGTAGTCTCCTCTACCAGCTCCAGGCCAAACAATTTTTTATCGTCCACTTCTTCCCAACAAATCGGTGATCTACATGGGTGCCCATATAACGCCTCATACAGAGCCATGCCAATACTCGCTTGGTAGCTGTTATTATAGGCAAACTCTATCAGGGGCAGATGGTCGTCCCAATGGCCCCCAGAGTCAAGGACATAAGCTCGGAGCATATCCTCAAGTGTACGGATTATCCTTTCTGATTGTCCATCAATTTGAGAGTGGAAGGCAGTACTGAGAGACAGCTTCGTTCCCATGGCTTGCTGAAAGCTACTCCAAAACTGAGAAGTGAATCTGGGGTCCCTGTCGGACACCACTATCACTGGGACTCCATGCAATCTGACTATTTTCCAGATATACATTCTTGCCAACTTGTCCAAGAGATCGGTCAACCTGATGGCTAAGAAGTGGGAAAACTTGGTAAGCCGGTCAATAATTACCCAGATGGCGTCATGTCCTAAGCGTGCCTTAGGTAACCCTGTCATGAAGTCCATGGTGATATGTTCTCACTTCCACTCTGGGATCGGTAAAGGCTGAAGTAACCCGCCTGGGCGCTGATGCTCTGCCTTGACCTGCTGACATACCAAGCATTTGGACACAAAGTCAGCTATGTCTCTTTTCATCCTATTTCACCAAAACCGGGGTCGCATGCTTTGGTACATTTTGGTGCTTCTGGGATGCATGGCAAACTTTGAGCTATGGGCCTCTATCATGATGTCTCTCTTTAACTCACTGTCACCTGAAACACACACCCTGTCCTGAAATCAGAGTAACCCATTGGCGGAGACTCGAAATTCTGAAATAACTCCCTGTTCTGCATTGTTCTTGAGGGCTACTAGGGCGGGATCAACTGACTGAGTTTCTCTTATTCTCTGAATTAACTCAGGCTGGACGGTCAAATGGCCTAAACATGTGACTCTCCTCAAGTCTTGAAGTCGAACCTGTTGTGTGGCCCCAATTTGCCTGCCTTCTGAGAACATCAAATGGGCTAAGATACCTGCACTTTTTCTGCTGAGTGCATCAGCTACCACGTTGCCCTTTATCCGGATGGTACAAGATATCACAATCATAGTCCTTAAGAAGTTTTATCCATCTTCTCTGATGCATGTTGAGACCTTCTGAGTGAATATGTATTTCAAACTCTTGTGATCGGTATAGATCTGAAAGGTCTCTCTATATAAATAATGGTGCCAAGTCTTCAAGGCGTGTATGATTAC